GTCCCAGAATTCTCACATTCTAAGTGCCTGTGTCTTTTCAAACTTTCAAGCTCTCAGTGTTTCCCAATCTTATCATGAATAAATGGAGTGGGCCATTTAGTTTCAGTCTACCATACGTTTCCCATTTGTGCGCATAAGGAGAAATATCTCTTAATACAAAAATAAATCCTGTTACATTGCATTGTTCTGCAGAATTCATCATGAACGATCCCTTTCCAAGTCACATTGTTGAAATTAGCTTCCCCAGCAAAACATTAAATAATACAACAACAACAATAAATTTATTAAACATGAATGCCTTCTGACTTCCATAACTGAACAGTTCTCACATATGTGAAAACTTGGGACCCAAACCATATTTTCCACTGTGGGCATTTGTATTGTACTTAGGGAGATTGGTTCTTCAGTGAAGTTATCAGCAGGACTTGGGAAAGGGTTGCTAATTCGTTGAATTCTGTATGGAAATATATTAATTAGTTTATTGTTATTTTTGAGCTGTGCCTATTTGGTTGCTGCATTAGTTACCTATAAGCTTCCAAACTTGAGACCAATGTTGTTATCTATAAGCTTTACATGCTGCTGTGTCTGGTTATTTGGAAGTCCAGCTTCTTCAGAAATGATTTTTCTCATGCTATGAAGTCATCAGGAAACATGCTGCTTAGAGTGATGGTGGTGGGGAAACTGGACCAGAGTTTTCTCTGTAGTTGTTTCAATGCTCTGAAATGTTTTACCCCAGAGGTATGCCTTTGTTATGCAAATTTCAAATCTATTGATTTTCCCATTTTTACCAGCTACTTTACTTTGTCACAACAGAAATTATTTGTATTCTCTATTCTATAATATACCATTTATGTCTTGGCCCTGAACAAATGTTCAGTAATGGAGTTAGCAGCACCGCCATCCAAACAGAAAATGCTAATGCCTCCTAATCATTGTTTTGCAAGGGATTGTGTGTTGCAGTGAGATTAAAGAAGCACTGATAAAGGAAAAGGTTAGATGAGCTATGATGCAGCACTTGTATGTGTTTTAAGAGTGCACCTTCTCTTATCATTTGCTTAGCTTTATCATCATTTTATTTAATTGCATTTCTTCAATTTCATAGAGGAAGGCATCAAAAACAGGGGACATGGCAATTTTGCAAAACTATTGGAACAGCATTTTGCAATTGTTCTTAAATTATGAGTATGGCATTGCTTATGAAAAACCCAGAGTTTTTCCAGGCAGAGTGATATGTTTAATAAATGCAAATCAGGTGGATACTCATTTTAATACAGTCCCTGAAGCAGATATTGTGTCATGAAATAACAATCAAAGTGAGAATAGAATTTTGTGAAATGATCCAGAATATTCATACTCACAAGGGTCTTCCATAAATAGATCTTTGAGACAACTGTTCGGACCTGCATGAAGATTGTAAAATTTCAGAAAACTAACAGAGTTTTCATCATTGCAATTATTTATTATTTATTTATTTATTTATTTATTTATTTATTTATTTATTTATTTATTTATTTAATTATATTTCTATACCGCCCTTCTCCTGCGGGACTCAGGGTGGTGTACAGCCAGGATAAAACATAGCATATAAAATTTAAAAACATTTAAAAAAACAATTAAATAATTTTGGCCCGAATTTAACACAACCCAATTAAAACCGAAATTCGATTAAAAACTGAGAGGATGGGATAGAGAACAGAGGAAATTTCAAGACATAGAGCTTCATCCATCATGCCAGTAAGACTGATTATCTCTGGACTGTTTGGTGTTTTTAATTAATAAGTGGCTAGGTAACTACTGTGGATTGCTAGTAGGCATGCTGTGTTTTCATCAGTGGTTGGTCAATTCTACAATATTTGCATTTCATTAAGGTGCTTATAGGACATGTTCTATCTCTCTAAAGTTATTTGGTGTGACTTGGTTAAGAAGTGACTACAGTTCAGAGGATATTTCAGTTTGTGAAAAAATTATAGGTATGCTCTGAAGTATTACAGAATGTAAGAAGTCCTTGTGCCATTTTTTCTCTTTCTTCCACAATGAGAGAACTGTGCGTGTTTTCCTTAAGATCCTCTTTGCAATTCTAAGTTCCAAAGATAGCAACAGTAAATTATATGAAAAATATAATTGGTTTTTTGGAAATAATTTGAATTATTTTTAGCCCATATGATTTCACATCCTAATCTGTTAATGTTTTATACTATATTATGTTTCTGTGTATGTGTGTGTTCTGTTTAATATTTATTAATTTGGGGCAGTTAGAACTATTTTAGTTAATAAAAAAGTACATTAACATTCACACAAACAAGCGTCATAGTGAAATTGACAGAACAACTACTGATGATAGCCAGTCAAATTCTGATTTTATCTAATGCTGTAGTTTTAAGATTTTGCTTCATAAGCTTCCATTGACCAAATTTAGAAAGTAAGCATAAGGCTTTGATTGATCTTATCAGGTGCTACACAATTCACATCCGTCACCGCAGGTAGGATGCTAGCACCACAGTCACTATTATTAAGAATTTGTGGCATTGTCAGGCTGACTGCTGAGCTCATCCTGCAGTTTGTGTTTTTTAAAGGGCTTTTACTCCCAATATCATGGGGGTGGGGGTGGGGGGGTGGGTGAAGAAGTTTTTGTCTTCTGCAGAATGGTCACTCAGAAGAACACCTGAATTGACTTTTTTTGGCTAAATTTGATCTATGTAGAACTTTATATTTGTTTTAAGCCATTCAAATTAAAAATACACATGATTCAGTGATATTAGAAATAGATGTTTCAATTTAAGTATGTCTTAAATATTTGAAATATATTTCTGAGTCATTTTGTTTTATAGGTACTATTTTCTCTGTAGCTATTCAGCATTTATAATTCATAGTCATTATAAACATTGTTCTGTAGTTTTCATTTATTTAAGGTAACCAGTCAGAAGAGAAAGTTGTAAAGACTCTTGCTTTTTTTTTCTTTTTCTTCTACATCTCTCTCTCAGATAGGAAGGAATTAAAGTCATCATGATGATATACTAAATTTTGATTTTCTGTTCCAGTTACTTAGTTAAAAAAAAAAAGCAGCATTAGTCCTAATTCCAAATTGATACCACAAATTGATATTTCTTGTCTATTAAGCTTCATTTAACCATGCCAATTTTCTATATTTGAATGAAATGGCAAAAATTCTTTGTGGAGATTTCATGAGGAAGTTTTAACAAAAGAGGAGATAAAAGCCTGACAGCCTAAGACTCGCTTTGCCTCTTGTTCAAAACATCCATAGTTTGCAATTACGTTCTGAATCAAGTTTTACAGTATTTATAAAATAAATTTAAGAGCTTCTTATAATTCAGTAAGCAATTCAAAATATTTCCCCTGACTCATACCAATACTATTAGTTATTAGTTCCTGCTTTGTAATTGCAAAGTCAAAAAGAATAGAAGGAATCATTGATTGAGTCCAAGAACTATAAGTGAGTGAAAAGTAAAAGCAGAGACTGACATTTACTGGAATGTTGGAATATGCTGCTCACTGCAAGGAAATAAGATAAATTCTTTTCTGTTTCTGCAAATATGATCAGAATGTCTTCTTCTGTCTATTGGCAGTCATCCCCTTTATATCACTCATCTAAAATATTATTAAAATATGCTGTTGATTTTTTTGGAAAGCTTACCTGAGGGTAGTACTTTAGGAATCTTTGAGGGAAGGCAAATAAAGAATAAAATACTGCAGGCATATGTGTAAGAGATAGAGATAGAGCTTGTATTACAAGATCATGATACATGTTTTGTCCTTTTGTAAAAGCTTACTAATTGAATGAATATTTCTGCAAAAGACTACTCTTAGCATTCTCAAAGTGCTGCTGCACTTTCGTTCTGTTTACTGGATATTAAGGAAGAGATTGAAAATACGTTTCAGAGACTTTATACTTGTCTTCACTACCATCTGGCAAACATATGGCTAAAGTCCATAAAACGCAAGCAAATAGAAGGGTCAAACATTTAGGTGCAATGACACATATATACAATGGCTTAAGTAGGGATCAGCTGAATGTACTTTCTAGTATTCTAATCATAGGAGCTAGGCAATCCATAGGGGATCTGCCTATCAAATTATTCTTAATTATTTTGACATAACTTCCATATTAATAGATTATTTTTCCTTATCTGCCTACTTGCTATAGAATATTACGCTACAATTCAGTAAAAATTGTATCAAGAATTAAGTATATTGTAAAATAACTCTGTAAATTATAATTATCCTACATTATCTCAAGTTTGTGAAAACATAGGTATAGGTAATTTGTGTATGTGTGTGCATGAATGAATGTGTGAATAAAATGTCCATCTTGGCTTTGTGACTATTGCATAAATCCTTTGCTTTAATATTGGAAAAGAGGTTCAATATTCTACTGCTGATTAATAAGATTTGTGCTTATTTGAATGGTGTTAAAAAAAGTAATTTTCTTTCTTTGCAAATTGCTATGGTGCAGGATTCTGGTTCTATAGCCAACTGTCAAATTACCTGGATAACTTCAGTGCAATGAAGCTGACTATAACTCAGGCAAATTGAAAGGGTTACTGGAATGAGAAATCTGCACTGATGTGGCACATTGAGTAGACAAGTTCTATATTCAAAGTTCTACATCTTTTGATTTAATAATATTTGGATTAAATTTAAAATTGTAATACATTTCCAAATTTATGGGTTAAGAAGGTGCTACTTCTTGGTACTTGTGCTAGCTGGATTTTCAAGTAAGAATATATTTTGTGGCAGTTGCTTTGGCCAGGACTGAGTTTTCTTAAGACGTGCAACATTTTTGAATAGTTTCAAAGGTGACTCTATATTTGGTTCAAGTTCCTTTTAGATAATCTTGTACCAGGCAAGTAAATTTCTTCAATATGAAAAGGGATGATAGCTAAAAACAGAAAGAGGTGAAACAGAAATGTCAATGTTTTAGATATTTTAAGACATTTACCTTACTTACTGCTTTCTTGTTTATTTTTATCTTCCCCTGACAGTAGAAGAAAATGAATCAGAGGACCAGGAAGGAGTGGAACAATCAGCAGTGCCGACAGGTAATTTCCATGCCAACCATCATGTTTCTCTATTTTTCAAAAACATGACACATGTTTGGTTTGTTCTCATCATGCAGAAAACAATGGAACATTTAAAGAGTGATATGGACCTCTAAAAGTGCCTTTTTTGTAAACATGAGTTCCCCTTCAGTTATTCAGTTGTTATTACATAGATAATGTTCTGTTATGCTTCTGAAGCAGATCTGTGTACAAATTAGCTATTCGTTGATTTATTTTCTAGAAGACCAGTTTTTCCATTCATTTTATACAGGATCATCTGCCTATTTTTCAAAATAGTGGAAGTTTACAGATGGAGTCTGAGTTTATCATAAGGAAGCAGCAAAAGAAGAATAAAACTTATTTACATTGCTCTGGCACATGTACATTTCTGGTTTGTGGCCAGGCATTTCTGCAGGCTGGTTATTTTCACAAATAAGCATGCAGTTTAAATCTTAATCCACTGATTTTGTTAACAGTCATTGATCCCTACATTTAAATCACTGGGAATTGTGCAGATAAAGACTTAGTTCAGTCAGCAAGATTTTAGGTTGGAAATTTGACCTGTTCATTATAATGGGGGTTAATAGCATGTTGCTTCTTATAACAGCTCTCTTTAGTTTTTGCTTTTCCTTTGAAAAATAATTGTGCTATAGTTCAGGGACAATTAAGTCCTTTAGTTTGTTTGATTAGTTGTTCTGGAAATAATAATTAAATATTCTTTGTGCAAAAAAGTGATTGTACTGTATGTGTTATTGGTATTGGTTTATAGATTAACGTATAAGGATCCCAGCAATCTTAAAAAGAAATACTACTGTTTTAATTGTACTTTTCTTATATTTAAGAAGCTAACAATACATATTGCAATTGTACAAACCAGATTTCCTTGAATAGGTATTTTCATAATTGCCAGTCTAATAATCCCAACCAACAGAAGATAATTTTTAAACCTGCTGGGATTAAAGTCCAGTTAAAGTCCAACATATTTGTAGAGTTTCTTAAGAAGGCTGGTAGATGAGGCTTGATGATTCTTTGATAAAGTGATTTGTAATTAAGCGATTAGTTAAGCAACTAATTAATGATTTTCTGCTCTCAATAAAAGTAGATCCAGATCCAAATTTCTGGAATATTGTATATATTATATTGTCTTATTGTAGCAGTCCAGTACAGCAGATTAGTTGTTTAAAACTACATAATTTTTTAAATTTGTTTTTAGATATTTATATAACTGATATTTAATTTGTACAATTATTGTGAGGGTAGGAAGCTATTCTCCAATGTGTTTGTATTGTCAGTTTTTAAATATCTATAGTAAGTGATATCATTCCTTGTTGCTATTTAGTTTTAGGTATTTGCACTAAAATATAACTGACTGTTTGACATGTAATCTAAGCTGTCAAAAAAACTATGCTGCACAGAATACACATACATTCAATAATTCATGCTATCTTACTGATATTAGAATGTATTGGCCTTATTTACTTCAGGTAGTAATATTTAAGTACTATTAGAAATAGCTAGATTGGATGAGTGAAACCTTGTTTCATATAAGATCTTTAGAAAAAATAAAAAGATTATCAAGTTTATTATTTCTTTCATATATTTCTATCTCTGTCATTTCTATCTCTAATCTATATGATTTACAAGACAGCTGGGTCTGCCTGCCTGCCTACCTACCTACCTTCCTATCTATCTATCCCCTTCTCTCCTCACAACACACACATATTTATAAAATAAATAATAGTTAAAAATCATGGAAGAAACAAACATGTCATTCTATAACATGGTAAAAGAAAACCATGGAAAAAGGAGAGAAATTAGGTTAATCCAGAAATTTGTGCAAGAAAAAGAAGGCTGTTATGCCAGGCTTGAATAGTTTTAAATTTATGGAACAAACAAATTTATTTCTGAAGGTGGTAGTGAATTGCAAGGATGAATCGGTCAGAGTTCAGTAGGCAACAATTTGTGAACTACCTTTTTTTGCTACTTTCTTGCCACAACATACATAGATACTAATTTCTCTACAAGATTTTAGTCAGCTAATTATGCAAGCAGCGTTCAGCTAATGCATACAAACATACTTGGGTCTCCCTCCCTTCTGCCTTCAAAGGAATGTAACAAATTGTTTTATGGTCCACTGGTTCTATCACAGTTTTTATACCATTCCAAGGTTAATTATCTTCCTCCTTGGAATAATATTACTTCTTCTAATAGAACAGTGTGCCTTTCCTAAGCTGTTCCTAGGTGTGTAGTTCTTACCACATTCCTCAAAGAGTTAATCAAGGGTTTCAATTATAGCTTAGCTGGCAGCTTCTCAGAGATGGGACAACCCTGATCTTCGTTTTGGAGTTCTGAGTTATTTTCTTCTTCTGCAAATCTGCACAGCATAGATAGATCTCTCTCTGTATAGTCTTACTTTCTGTGATCTTAACTCATTACGGAATCATTGCAAAACTTTTTTCAGCACTCGAAACTTCCTAATTCCACCTTTGATTCTTAACTACTTTCCTTTTCTCCTTCTCTTAGACCAGCCCAAGCTTTCTCTCTCTCCTTAGCCATTTCCTCTGCTATAAACATTCTTCCAGCTTCTCAGCTTTCAAGTAAGAGAGTTTGTATGTGAGAACTGTATAAGTGCAGTTTGTATATCTGGGAGATAGTATGATCAGTTGGCAGAGAGTTATCTTCTATATTCTGCCACAGAAATATGTCAATTAAAATTATTGATATATTCATATATCCTGGTTGATTGATGCCTTCGAGTCAATGTCGATCCTGGCAATTGACTGGACTTGTGTCTGACCTATTTTTTAGCTGTATGTGTATTCTTTGACTTACAACAGCTCATTTAGTGACCATTACAATGACACAGAAAAAGTGACTTATGGAAGTTTTTCACATTTATGACCTTTGCACAATGTGCATGTAATCAAAATTCATACACTTGGCAACTGGCATGTGTTTATGACTGTGTCCCAGGGTTGTGTGACCTTTTGATAAGAAAAGTCACATGACTTTTGTGACCTTTTGATAAGAAAAGTCACATGACTTTTGTGACCTTTTGATAAGAAAAGTCAATCCAGGAAGCCAGGTTCACTTAACAATCATGTTATTAACTTAACAACTGCAGCAATTCACTTAACAAACGTGGCATGTGTAAAACGTGTAAAATGGAGCAAAACTCACTTACTGTCTTGTTTAGAAACAGAAATTTGTGGGCCAATTATGGTCGTAAGTCAAGGACTACCTTTATATTTTGAAGTGGTTTGTCTTCTCCCCAGGATTGAGAGAGAGTGACTGGCTCAAAGTCACGCAGCAGACTTTGTGACTAAGGCAAGAGTAAAATTCATAGTCTTCCAGCTGATTCAAATTTGATTGTTTTGAAGACAAATAAGTATAAGAAGTTCTCTACATACGGTCTGAAGTTTCTCAAGTAATACTTGGTATCTGGGCTCTGGCTGTTTCCATTAAATGTGCTTTTTATGGAGTACCAAGTTATAAATGTAGTGCAGCTACGGCATATTAATCTTACTGCAGAGATTTAATGAGGCAGTTGTTTTGCAATGGACACTGTTGGGAGCAGACAACGATAGAGTTTTACTTCGCTGCTGAACTGCAGAAATATTCCTTTCCTGGTCATAATTATAACCACATGATCTCTTAGTTTTCCTTTCTTTTGCCAGCACTTTTCCATGCAGAAGTGGCTTGGAAGGAGGTCCATTAAAACGCAGTCAAATGGACTGGAAACTGGGCTTTTTTCCTGGTTAGCATGACATTTCAGGCTCTTGCTCAGCTACGGATCTGTGCTTCATGGAGAAAAATATATAAGATGAGTTTTCAAGCATACATGTCTGCTGGGATGGAGGTTAGATAGCCGTTACTCAAATTTAAATTTGATTTTTGTATAGGTTATTAAAAATAAGTGTTCTAAGACTAGAGAAGGATTTCTGCCTTTAAAGTTGGCCTTAAACCAATCTCTTACTGGAAGTTAATTGACGTTCTTAGGTTTTATTGCTTCTAATTCTTTTAAGCATTTGTATTTTTCATTTTCCTCCAAAGTTGAGGTTTCATTGGATCAAATTACAACAATAATATCTCTTGTGAGGAGAAAGATGACGGGGAGAAAGTCAATGGGGACAAAAAGCTATGGGAGCATATACTATGTAAATCTCTATTTATATAAATAACTAACATAATCTAGAAAACTAGCAGTTCATTTATATACTATATGAATAGGTAGAATTTATTTCAGAGCTCTTTTTTGTTGCATTTAGTAATTCTGCAGCGTGTCATATTGGCAGATATACATGCTGAAATAGTTAATATAAGTATGATTTCCAAATGTCAGTCTGGTTTGTTCAATTAGTCCATTCTGGTTTGAGGCCTTAAGCTTTTAAGAATTTATACTGGGGTTGCAATTCAGTAGCAAATCTGCAAGTAGAAGTAGAAAGATTGTGTTTGTGAATAAATTTTTCAAATTTCTTAGTTTGGTTCACTCATGCATGTTTTCACAAATAACTACACTTTTAGAAAGTGTAGTTTCAGTACCCTTATTCCCTTCAGGAGATCATTATTCAGCAAGAGTTTATCTCTTCTGGTAATCATTAGTTGAATATTTTCTATCTAGGTTGACACTTGCCTATTGAAGGTTAAATTTCTCTGGTAAATCTGTTATTTAGAGCCATTGACCATAAGGAAAATTATGAATCTACTTAAAACACTTTAAGAAAGTATGTATTTAGAAAAGTTTAAATGATTAGAAGAGGCAATATGATAGGTAAGAGTATTTGAAAGATAACTTAGCTTAGATAAATGGGTCATCAGAACAAATATGCAAATCAATCCGTGATTGAAAAGTAATTTCAAAGGAAATCATTTTTCTCATCTAAGTATATCACATTTAAAATCATAAAAACTGGGGCTAGACTTTTATAATGCCTCTCTTAATAAAAACTAGCTGAGAACTAAGAAAAAGAATGTGTTCAATTTTGTATTCAAACATGTTAGACCTGGAAATTAGATGTAGAATTCCTATTTTGAAGTTCATCATTCACAAAACAATTCTCGTGCATGTGGGCAATTGGCAATATTTAGTTATTTTCATATCAGAAGTAGACTAAAATAGACTGGAAAATAGTAATGTAGAGTTGATGTCATAACATTTGCCCCAAACGTATTTGAAGAGAATTGATTTGGCACTTCATACTTCTGGTTAAAGTCTAAACATAGGTTGATACCAACTAGATGCATGCAAAAGGTTTGATTTCAAATCTTTAAAAAGATTTAAAAAGAACTGTTTAAGTTTGAAACAGTTCTTTTTAACCATCCATATGAACCATTTCACTGATATTCAAAAGCCTTTTATATGAGTCTGTAACTCTGCTTTCAGTATCAATTATAGTAGAAGTACCTTTTCAGAGAAAAAAGTAGGAATGGAAAATATACTCATCAAGAGAAGGCAGAAGCTGCCACAATTCATTACACAGGGGCCATGACTGAACCCAGTCTTAAGGGTTTGTCCCCTTAAGAATTGACCTAAAAACTAACATAGCATTTTGCTAGAACATAAATTCTGAAGTAACAGCAGCAGGAACTAAGTTGCCTGACTTCTGTCCCAGCAGATTTAAATCTGTAAATGCATAAATTGATATAACTTTGCTTTTCTCACCCAGTGACTTCTATTATATAATTTGGCTGTGTGTGTGATCTCTTAATAGATAGAGCTGTCCTTGTAGGACTGATTATCCTAAACAAGGCTTCATATCCTAAACTCTCTGCATGTATGCTCATATCTGTTATATTATTAGATTCTTGTTAATGGCCAGCATTCAATAATAATAAACACTGAGTATACTTGCATCCCTTTCTCCCTTCACTTACAGTAAAGTTACTTTAAAACAAATATGATTGTAAACTTTATGTGCAGCATTTCAGTAACATGACTGTAGTCATGTTAAAATTCAGATTGAGTGCCCATCTTTGCCTGAGTCAGTTTTACGAGATGAATTTGGGAATTTGAGCTGAATAACTAATAGCATGGATTGTGCACATGCTGCTTTCCAACAAATGTTTAATGATATCTGGGTCAGTTTGCAATAGTTAAAGACAATTATCTCTTTTCCTTTGTCACTTATAACCTAGTAGTATTTTTCACTGCTAGACTAAGGTAGATGCAAAGGCTGGAAATGCACTTACAAATAAATTTGGCAGTTTTGTTAGCATATGTGACCTTAAAGCAACATAAGATATAATGATTTTTCAGATAAAGAACTAGTTGCAGAAATTATGCTAAAGTAAGATTTTTATTTTTATTTATTTGCATCTTGCCTTTATTATTTTTTACAAACAACTCCAGGTAGCATCTCTATCATTTGCTCTTTTGCTCTGTTGTATTTTTTGAATGAGCTAATAGTGTTATATCCTGTTTTGAAATCAGGAGTCTAAGGTGAGTTAGGTAAAGTTCTATTTTTCCCTTCGCCAACCCTCTGTGAGATTGGACTCAAAATCATCAATGACCTTTAGAGCTGAGTAGAGATTTTAATCTAGATCTCCCCACTTCAAGTCCAACATACTAATACACTTAGGTTCTTCAGGGGAAATATTCAACTGCAGTATTCAAGCATATTTTATGTAAGCTGTTTAATTGCATCTGTGTCTATAAGTATTTTGCAATAGTTTTTAATGACATTTTATTCCTTTATTGATTTCATTCATTCATTCAATTTCTATAGCTGCCCAACTCAGTCAAATGACTCTGAGTAGCTTGTTTTTCTTTTTCTCTTTTATTTCCTTTTATATGATTATACTTGGAATAAATATTAATATTAATATCTTGCTTAGAATTTTAGAGATTTCTAATTATGTTTTAAATAACACAATCCCCACAGATCTACAAAATAAATAAATGAAATATTAAACTTCAAAAATTATTACAATTATTTACTATTTTATTCTTTTATCCACTACTTTTCATTTTTCTTTCTTTTCTCTCTTTCTAGTTATTCTTTTTGTTTATAATGTTTTAAGGAGGAAAAACAGACATAGGATAGAAATGCTATCTTTCCTATGTTATGTTTTCAGAGAAACATAATTCTGAAAACAGCATAACAAAAAGTTTTAAAGAGTTGACTTTTCACTAGTCATTTACCAAACTGAAGTAGTATTGGATGATGCTTAGATTTTCTTTATAGCAATAGCACTTAGACTTATATACCGCTTCATAGTGCTTTTACAGCCCTCTCTAAGCGGTTTACAGAGTCAGCATATTGTCCCCAACAATCTGGGTCCTCATTTTACCAACCTCGGAAGGATGGAAGGCTGAGTCAACCTTGACCCGGTGAGATTTGAACTGCTGAACTGCAGCTGAAGTAGCCTGCAGTGCTGCACTCTAACCACTGCGCCACTTCGGCTCTTTATACAAGGAATTTGTCACGATCTGTTTCAGTAAATTATATTTTGTACTAAACTCATCCTTTCAATTCCTGATTTGGAGTTAGATTATCTGCTGGATCTTTATTTCCCCTTATTAAGACAAATAATGATGCAAAATGGCCTCTAGAGCAAATTATTCTCTGCAGATTTGTGCATCCTTATTTAATTAGTAGACAGGTTAAATCATTCTAGAACAATGCATCGATTTTTAATTTTCTTTGGCAATAAAAGCTGTTCATTTGGCTTTTTATTAATATCAGTTTCATTCTCATGGCAGCAAGTTAGTTCCAGCATTAAAAAAAGTTAAAACCTGGCTTTATTCCCTAAAACTTTTTTTTTAAAAAAAACTCTTTTTCATTAGATTGTGCTGCATTGTAGAAAGGATTTATTCTTTTAAATTATTCAAGTGATGAAAAGCCCCCAATAGTTGCATTAAAGTTGACAAAATTAACTGTGACAAATGGAAGCATTCCTTTTGCAGAAGGGAATGCTATTTGGGAAGAAAAGTAATTGAGAATGGAAAGGATAGATGCTTCCTCTGTTTATTGAGCTGTAAATTCTAGCATAATGTTCATGTTCTGCAGCCTCGAGCCAAAAGTATTTTTGTACCTGTTGAATAGCTTGAACAACAACAGTAATACAACAAATCCACCCAACGTCCAATTTTTAAACAGGATTGTTTCTTCCCAAACCCTGGAGTCATAATCTTAATTTTCTTTCAGATCTGAACTGTAAACTAGAAGACAGGACAGACGATAGAGAGTTGATAGATTGTAAGAAAAGACCGGAAGAAGGGGAGGAATTAGAGGAAGAAGCTGTGCACAGCTGTGACAGCTGCCTCCAGGTGTTCGAGTCATTGAGTGACATCACAGAGCACAAGATTAATCAATGTCAACTGACAGGTAAACAATACTTCTCATTTTATATTTGCTTACACAGTTTTGTTTCTGATTTTAGGTTTCTTCTTCAATGATGCTTTTCTTAATTATCTCCTACCTCCCTTATTATTTTACTTTAAAAAAAGCACTTAAATGCTCAAGTAAACATTCTCAAGTAGGGTTGAATGAGTTTAATTTTCATTTAGACGACTGTTTTTCTAGCCTATTCCAGCTTTAGTCCTGTATTTTAATATACTGCTGAGATATACTGAAATACAGTATATACTGAATATACTGAAATATACTACAATATACTGAGAAAATGGCATAGAATGTTTCTATTTTTGCAAATCTGAACTTAGTGCAACTGCATTTAGGGGTGACATGGTGGCTCAGCAGTTAAGATAAGCTGACTTTGTATAAATATACAAAAGTATGAAGGCTATTGCTTAACGCACTGTAAGCCACCCTGAGTCTCCGGAGAAGGGTGGCATATAAATCAAATTAAAAAAAAAGGAAGAAAAAAAGGTACTGGGCTTGTTGGCTGGCAGTCCAGGTTTAAGACCCGAGCACCATGCAACAGGGTGAGCTCCCATCCTTATCCCAGCTCCTGCCAACGAAAGCATGCAAATGTAAGTAGATAAATTATGGACTCATGAGAGGATCTTGCTCCTGATTAGAAAGAAATGGTCATTGATGTTTCATTTTTTTAACATGTGAATTCTAAACAAGTATATTTTGATAGAGTTTCTTAGTAATACTAATGTGATAATTGATTAGAAATCGTTTGATTAAGCTATGATAGACATTTTGCTCATGAGATGTATGCCTTAATGTGCTTTACCCTTAACACTTTTATCTTTAGATATCTGGGAAAATAATCAAGATGCTTGCATATAATTTAAAAAAACATATCCCAAAGCAAAAAGAAAAGCATTGGGCATTTCCCGGGAAAAAAGGGCATGAGTAATTCAGGTGTTTCAGCATCAACTTGATGTTTAAAATTAAAAATATGTGGCTCATTGCTGGCAGCAGCCTTCCAGTTAAATAAAACAATTCCCTATAGAAATGACTTTATTATTTTTTTTCATTTACTTGTAAAGAAATTCAGATCTGACTAAGCTACTGAATATTGACCAGAGGAGACATGTTTACACTATCTTCAGTAATAAATTATTGTCCTCGAATGAATTATATGTGATTATTAGTTTACCAGATCATATGTAGCATCTACAAAATTGTCTGATAAAACCTATAATTATGAGCATGAAAAGTATCATTATTTTCGAACTCTTGGCAGCAGAACATCCACATTTAGTTCCTAATTATTTCAGTTAAAAAGAGATCTTTGATCTGAGAATATATCCTGCAAAAAGCTCTAGTTCCAGATAGGATACACTAAATAAGTCTAGATGAACCAGTTGTGTAACTCCATAGTAGTTAGAATATGAAACCTACAGCTACTTCATGGGTGATAAAGAAAACATATTTAAGTATCTTTGCCAAGAAGGAGCTAATGACAGCCTATTTCTTTCTTGTTGTATTTATGTTGCTTTTTGCTCTTTTAAATAATACTTGAAACAAGGTGCTGTACATCACACCTTCCTTTTCATTTCAGCATTTTGATATATTCAACAATTTATTTAGCCAATTCCCATTTGTTCCTGGCAAAATGTTGATGTCTGTGGGAAGGTTTTTAACATCTCTCCTTCATTGTTACATTGTTTTGTTAATGCCTTCCAATCAGTCATTTTGTTTGTCTTCCTAGACCACAAAGGGATGACTGCATTCATTTTTTTTTTCTGGCAAAACCTTTGTAATCCCATAATGTATGTCACCTGAAGTTGGGTGTTCAGTTGAGTGACTGCTAGCAGGGGAAGTGAAGCAAAAGGAGAAATTCCTGGAGCAGTACTCCTTAGATACTTTACCCCAGGTCATGCTTGAGGGCAGAACTTGCCATACTAAATGAGGGTAAAATAGTTCTGCCACTTCAGTAAACGTTTTTCAAAGACAGGGACGACTCCCTTAAAAAGCCTTTTGTCTCAGCGATTTGAAAAAATACTTATGGCTGATGGGTACAAATTAAAATAATTGAAAATAAATCAGAGGCTTTAATTAAGCCTTCCTTCCTACCGAATGAGGCTTACTCATTAACTCTAATTTCTGAAATAACATAAACTAAGAAGACTATATTTGTTTTAAGGTAGAATACAATTATCTTCTGAGTTAGGTTTTAAAGATTCTGTGTTTTTACCTACTGGCAAATTTTGTATGAAATCAGTAATGTAAATACAGAAATATGATATTTATTGCCAAAATGATCTGCCCCAGTGTTTTGGATGATGATTTAAGTGTATTTCAAGCCCAGTTAGAAGATGCAAGAAGCAAAGTTGTAGGTGCATGAACACATTCTTGTGTACAATTTATATGGATGTTTTTCAAATGAACAAAGAGGGATGAATCTTTAGATCCGGAAGCTGAGATTGTGCACTTAATACAATATTTCTGTATGGACTTCTTGAAAATAAATATCATGGTATCTTATGTGAATGACAGTCAAATAGTCATAACAGAAAACTGCTTGAATTAGGTATACCGTGTCTATCATGCCACATTTAAATAAAAAAAAACACATAATATATGTTGATAATGTATTACTTAACATTGATTTTGTGACACATGGCTATCTTTTCCCGACAAGTAAACTTTATTTAGTTTGAAACTTTATATAGATTTAGGATAAATGTTTTCCAGCATTAGTTAAGTTGTAATTCAAATTTATACAGAAATGAATCAAAATGATTTACTGTCTCCTGATTTTGTGGATTTTGGAAGAATGAAAGGAATATTCTCACAAAGGTAGTGGTTTTGCTGTTCATATCTCATTCTGAATGAACTTTCTCTGGTGAAACACTTGACTGGAAGCCCCTGAAGACTTTTCTACTGGCCTAAACTCTCTTCAGAGTTATCTAAGACATAACATTTCATCCTAAAGTAGGATTCTTTGAAGGAAGATACTTAGGCCAATGGACATGCTAGGATTCCCAGTGAATTACTTTCAGGAAATGTTCTTCCACAGGTAGTCCTCGATTTATGATCACAATCAAGCCCAAAATTTCTGTTGCTAAGCAAAACAGTTGTTAAGTGAGTTTTGCTTCATTTTATGACCTTTCTTGCCATGGTTGCTAAGTGAATCTGACTTCCCCATTGATTTTGCTTGTCAGAAGGTTTCAAAAGCTGACCACATGACCCTGGGACATTGCAACTGTCGTAAATATGAACCAGTTGCCAGACATCCAGATTTAGATCACATGACCATGGGGATACTGCTATGGTCGTAAGTGTGAAAAAAAGGTGATAAGTCACTTTTTTCAGCGCCGTGTAACTTTGAATGGTCAATAAATGAATGGTTGTAAGTCAAGGACTACCTGTATTAGCCTCACTGACAAGTTACCAATGACTGTTCTCTGGCCAAGCCAGTGTCTTGATCCGAGTTGCTTTTCTTCATTCTAGCCCAGTATAAACTTCTGTATAGTTATACCTGAGATATATGCATATATATTTTGTTTATATAAATATATAAAATGAAAATAGTTTCCTGCATTTCATCAACTTTTCCCTTTTGAAAATTCTAGAGAATTCTAGAGCGGTATAAAAATATTTTTGAACTTAAAATGTTGATACCTAAAACATTCCCATAAAATGTAGCCACACATTTTCTGTTTTGATCCAGGTTAAGGTTAAGGCCTACATGCTTTGCACAACCCAGTCAAATACTTGTCTAAGAAAGTTACTTTTTTTGCATAATATGTTCACTGCACATAAAGAAACAAAGATCAGATCTCTGCCAAGATAATCTAAACTGTATGCCAAGAAAAGCTGAATCTAGCAACCTGTATGAATGATGTAATATTTTTTTTATTTCTTCTAGAGCAGATACAAAAGTATTGCTCTTTACTCCCAGGACTAACTATTTTAGGCATTTCTCTATCTTATGAGTTATTATCAAGCACTGAGCAGTTTTGGAAATATAACTTCAGGCTAAAGACTTGGAAAGTTTTTTTAAATGAAATTGTACTTTAAAGAAATTTGGTACAGTAACTATTCCAAAAATTATACTGAAAATACTGGGCACTATTTTCAGTATTTATATCCATCCAAATGTCATAAATTCTACCAACAAAAATATGTGGTTAAAACATCAGAAAATGCAATTATTTAATGTGCATTACTTCAAATTAGAAAGTAAAGAGTTAATGCAGCATGGGCAGTAATCATATTGACTGTATTTAATTAATTTGTTTTCCTTTTAATGTAACCTGAAACCAAATCAATATAATTTTTGTCCATACCGTAGTTACTTTTGGAAGTGTCATTCAAAGGCCAAACATAGCCCCAAAGTCGCACAGCGCAATATGCAAAATATTCTGAAAACTAGAACTTGTGTGGATTCCGAAGTAATATTAACACGCAGGCATACAAATATAATAAGAAGCAACTACTGAAGGCGATACTGCTAAGAGTTTTCAACAAATTTATACTGCAATTCCAAAATGGCTGATGATTGCAAAAAAACCCCCCACAAAACTTTGTTTAAAGGACGTTGTGTTTTTAATTCTTTATTTTGATTGAAAGGTCACCATATCTAGTAGGAGCTGTCAACTGGGAATAGTGTAAATGTAACGGAGATCTCTGACCTGTTAATAAGCTCCAGAAAGGAGATAGGTATCACTCCACAATGTGCCCTAGGGGTCCTTTCCTTTTAAACTTCAAGCAGTGAAACTGGAACTGCTCAACTTTTTATTTCTTTCAGTTTTACCTTCAGGGGAAAATTGATCGATTTGGAGATGATTATTCCATAATCTCTGAATCTTTCTTTTTTCACATTGCACTGGGAATGCATTGAAGCTTAAAAGGTGGTATGTTAACTCTGAGCATTGTACGGTGAGTCCAAAGAATGTATGGGGACAAAAGTCGTCTTTAAATAAAACTAGTAGCAAATGTATTTTGAAGTATAATACTCA